GTAAAAATTTAGTATCATTGTAGCCCTAGAATCCAATAAAGATTAAATAAGCTAACACATAAGAGTTATGTCCAACATTAGTGGCAATTTAGAAATTGCTGTCAACAAAAACAGAATAAAATGCTTTAACCATTTCTAAAATCAATATCCATCTAGTTTAATGGTATATATTTGTAAGAGTTCTTTAGCCTCTTGACATATTTCCATTTCTTTTTAATTCCTTATGCTTTATTTTCTATTTTACTTCCTTTCTCTGTTTATTTTAGTCTCTGTTTGTAGAGGAAATACTCTGGGCTAAATGTTAAATAACTGGTCAGGTAGCTCTAGTCTCCTTTTATCTTTATCTCGGTGATATCAAACTGGCCCAAAGATGTGTGTTTATTTTGTATTTCTGTAGGAGGAGAAAAGCACACTGGTGGTGGCAGGGAGTCTGGTAGTGATGCCTGGAAACAGTACATGAGACGATCTACTTGGTAAGAGAGGACTTTGGGGCCATGTTGGGCATGTGCTGTTAAATTCTACTTTCTGTTTTGTCTTTGTGCAATTTCACTTGGTTTGATTTTTCTATCATTCTACAGCTATCTTCTCCTAACAAGTTGATCATCTAATCCAAAATGCTCTAAAATCTGAAATAATTTGAGTGATTACAGTATGCCACATGTGGAAAATTCCACTCTTGACCTTATGATGGGTTAAAGTCAAAATGCAGGTGCACTAAAAATGCATAAAATGGCCTTCATGCTGTGTGTGTGGTATATATGAAACCTAAGTGAACTTCATGTTGAGCCTTGAGTCCCATCCCCAAGATGTCTCATGTACATGGCATGTGGTGCTATGTTTTAGAAAGAGCCCTGGGTGAAGAACCCAGAGGCACCCTTCCTAGTCCCTCTCTGCTTCTCACCAGCTCAGTAGGCTGGGCTGGGTTCCTCCCTGATGACTCCTTTTAGCCTCAGTAACTGCTTTCCTATCTGGGACTTCTGAGGAGCTTTAGATTTGGCTTGTTGAGCCCCAAACATGCACCCTCTTTGCTGGCTTTTCATTCTTTGAAGTCAGTCTTATCCTATTTGCTTTTCTTGTGTACCCAAAGAGCTAGACAGGTAAATACTTAGCTATAGCTTTTCTGAATCCATTTAGTGGGGATACTTTTCCTCTTGGGAAAGAAACCCAGTGACTCTCAGGTGAGTAGTTAATAGGGAAGCTTCTAATTTCTAAATTATTTTATTTTCTTAAATTTTCTTTTTATCAAAATGGGAATATTTGTGTTTTTTTTTTAAATAAATAATTCAATACAAGTTATTTAAATTATTTTTATTTTCGTGGTCCTGGGGATTGAACCCAGGAGCATTTCACCACTGAGCTACATTCCCAGTCCTATTTATTTATATTTTGAGACAGGGTCTCACTAAGTAACTTAGGGCCTCACTAAATTGCTGAGGCTAGCCTTGAACTTGTGATTCTCTTACCTCAGCCTCCCTGGTTGCTAGGATTACAGGCATACGCCATCATGTCCAACTCAATACAAGTTACTGAGAGATACAGAAAGATACAGTCTCCATATGCTTGAGTCCTGCTCAAAAGAAATGCTATGAGTAATATGTGTAATATGTCTTTCAGACTTTTGTGTTTCTTTTTCTTTTATAAAACTGGATCCATACTAACATTGTTTTGTGTCCTAAATTTTTTTCTTCACTAATTTAGTGTGTGTGTGTGTGTGTGTGTGTGTGTGTAGTTGTTTGTTTGTTTTTGTATTATTGGGAATTGAACCCAGAGGTCTCAACCACTGAGCTACGTACCTAGTCTTTGTTTTGTTTTTAAATTAAAAAAAATTTTTTTTTTTGAGATAGGATTTTGCTAAGTTGCTGAGGCTGGCCTCAAATCTGTCATCATTCTGCCTCCTGAGTAACTGAGTTTATAGGCATACACCTTTGTGCCTGGCTAAATAGATCTGTATTTTTTAATGGCATAAAAGTATTCTATATTATATTTATATACTACCAGTTATTAATTTTGTTCATTTTTCTCCCTCTAGTACCATCAACTACAGTAAAGACCTTCCGCTGGCTCAAGGAATCAAGTTTCAGTAAAGTTGCTTTCAATTGGCCTTATTTTAGTAAGGTCTTTTAGGCATTCCTGTAGCTACTCTGAAGAAGACCAAGAAAATTAAGATTTACTCTGAATAAATGCATCATCCTGAATATGACATTGGCTAATATCTTATGACTCCCCACTCCAAGCCCTGACTAAATCAAGAGATTCATTTTTTTTTAACTCAAAATATTTACAACATAACCATATTTAGTAAAAAATAGGTTGGATGGATTTTTTTTTTTTTTTGTTACTAGTTGTACATGATCATTTTATAATTAGAGAAAGCACACACCTTGGTAGTAATCTGGGAACATATGGGATAAAATAGAGAACAAAATAGAAGACTTTATGGTAAAAGCAGGTTGAGTCATCTGTAAAAAAGGAATTCCTATGTGGAGCAAACCCCCCTCTGGCATGATTGAAAGGGAATGTGTCCTTACTTATATGCTGAGGACCCTAGCACAGTGTTCTTGGGGGATGACTTGCTATGTTTAAAATGTCAGATGATATTTATTGCCAGTCATGGCTCTTGCTATTTTATGTCAACTTGGGATAGATCTGCACGGGGAATGTAAATTGTGCTAAGGGCTCCGAGGCCAAAGATCCCTGCGTAGAATGTATTGAAACCATGTCTGGATGCCTCATGCTACCTTAGGCTGTTTTCTTTAGCTGTTAGAAGCCATCAAATACAAAACTAAGGGGCTGGGGTTGTGGCTCAATGGTAGAGCGCTTGCCTGGCATGTGTGAGGCCCTGGGTTCAATATCAGCACCACATATAAATAAGTAAGTAAAATAATGGTCTATTGATAAAAAAGGACTGGGTATAGATCTGTTTATCCTTAAAAAATACACACATACGCACACACACACACATACACACATACACACACAAAACAACTATAAATATACCAGGGATGAAAGGTATTCGTGATGTGTTCCATGCTCAGCTGAGAATAATATTTACCTAGCTCTGTTGTCACCATTGAAATATGGATCAAGCCAAGTACAGATGATAAACCTAGAGAAAGGATGTTGGCAGGAAGAAATCAGATGAGGGTAGATGGAAAGTAGTTCTTCATTTTCTGTAATAGGAAATCAACACTTCCTAAAATAACTAAAGCAATCAGTAGCAACATGGGCTTGCTTATTAAGAGAAGAAGGTAAGTTCTGAAAGATCCATTGCTAGGAGCTTGGAGCATGAGACATAAGAGTTTCAGAACTGTTTGATTCTTTAAATTAATCAAGAGAATGTTTAATACATAATGTTGCAGTCCTACCTGGAATCCTACATTTCTAGATCCTTCTTCCCCTCTACCTCTCCCCATTTTTTTTCTCCCCATTATTGAACTGAAGATTGCTTTTAAATATCTCATGAAATGGTCCTACTGAAAGTCAAATTTCCCTCCATATTTTCAGATTCAAAATAGACTTGAATCCTATATTGAGAGAGAGAAAGAGATGCTTCTAAGAGTAAGCACTAGTTTAAGAAAATCAT